AGTGAGCTGAGATTGCACCATTACACTCCAGCTGGGGTGACAGAACTAGACTACATCTCAAAAAAATTTTTTTGAGAAAAATATTCTCTGAAGCTATTAATCATCCTTTTGAAGTTTACTTTTCTCTGCATAGTCTGTCTTTTTTCCTAGTTGCCTTTTTGTTTTGTTTCTGTTTTTTGTTTTGAGAAAGAGTCCGGCTTTGTTGCCCAGGCTGGAGTGCAGTGTCAAGATCTCAGCTCACTGCAACCTCAGCCTCCTGGGTTCAAGCGATGCTTGTGCCACAGCAATCAGCCTCCTGAGTAGCTGGGATTACAGGCATTTGTCACCACACCCAGCTAATTTTTTTGTATTTTTAGTAGGGACAGGGTTTCACCATGTTGGCCAGGCTGGTCTTGAAGCTCTGACCTCAAGTGATCTGCCGGCCGTAGCCTCCCAAGTGCCGGGATTACAGACGTGAGCCCCCGCACCCAGCCTCTCCTAGGTGCTTTTTCTGTGTTTCATATTAAGGCTTTACTCCAATGTCCAGGTGTCCCGGGCTGTCCACTCATTAAAGAATGGGGGACTAAAAAGCTGGGTGCTCTTTGTTTCTGGCCTGTCAACTGGCGGCCTCACAGTAAGATGAACCGGCCGGCCCTTTCGTTGGGAGATCTCCAGTGCTGGTGGCTGTAGGTACGTTCCCTGAGCTTATCAGGTTCCCCAGGTAGTACTTTTCCAGTCTTCTGCTCACAGGCTGTGAGGCTAGCTGCCAGCGTTCTGGGAAACCTGGGGGAAGATTGAGTCTTGCGTGCGTAGCGAGTAAACATCAGTGCCCCTGTTCTCAGTGTGGTATTCTCACTTTCAGCTGTGCCTGGTATTTTCTAGTCCACACACCTACTGCTCTCGAGAGAATACACCCCCAGATTCCTGCCAAGATTGGAAAGGGAAAGCTGCCTTTTTTTAATTGGAAAATTTTAGACATAAGAAAGTAAAAATAAGAGTAAAGTTAGCTAGTTTCAACAATTACCAGCTTGAGGCCAGTTGGATTTGATCTAAACTCCACCTACTTTTTCTTTTCCCTATCTGAATTATTTTGAAGCGAATCTTGATGTTGGATCATTTCATACATAATATTTCATTATGTATTTCTACAAAATAGCACTTAATTTTAATTTTTTTTTTTTTGAGGTGGAGTTTCGCTCTCGTTACCCAGGCTGGAGTGCAATGGCATGGTCTCGGCTTACCGCAACCTCCGCCTCCTGGGTTCAAGCAATTCTCCTGCCTCAGCCTCCCGAGTAGCTGGGACTACAGGCGCACACCACCATGCCCAGCTAATTTTTGTATTTTTAGTAGAGATGGGGTTTCACCATGTTGACCAGGATGGTCTTGATCTCTTGACCTCGTGATCCACCTGCCTCGGCCTTCCAAAGTACTGGGATTATAGGTGTAAGCCACCGCGCCCGGCCAAAATAGCACTTTAAAAAAGACATGCAACACTACTGTCACCCTTTTCTCCTCAAAGCAAAACAAAAAGTCCAGTTTCTCCTTAAGATCATTTAGAGCCAGACGTGGCAACTCTTGCCTAGAATCTCAACACTTTGGGAGGCTGAGGTGGGAGAATTGCTTGAAGGCAGGAGTTTGAGACCAGCGTAGGCAGCAAAGAGACCCGTTCTCTACATAAAAATTAAAGAATCAGCCAGGTGTGGTGACACATGCCTGTAGTCCATCTACTTGAGAGGCTGAGGCAGGAGCATCTCTCGAGCCCAGGAGTTTGAGGTTACAGTGAGCTGATAGTACTGCTACATTCCAACCTTGGCAACAGAGTGAGATTGTTTCTCAAAAAAAAAAAAAAAAAAAAAAAAGGTTGCGGATGGTGGCTCAGGCCTGTAATCCCAGCACTTTGGGAGGCCGAGGCAGGCGGATCACCTGAGGTCAGGAGTTCCAGACCAGCTTGCCCAACATGGCGAAACTTTGTCTCTACCAAAAAATGAGCCAGGCGTAGTGGCAACTACTCAGGAGGCTGAGGCAGGAGAATTGCAGAGGTTATAGTGAGCCGAGATCGCACCACTGCGCTCCAGCCTGGTGATGAGCGAAACTCCGTCTCAAAAAAAAAAAAAATGAGCGTTTATCCAATCAGTTCTGCGAGACAGAGTCTTGCTCTAGCACCCAGGCTGGATTGCAGTGGCATGATCTTGGCTCACTGCAACTACCGCCTCCTGGTTTCAAGCAGTTCTCTGCCTCAGCCTCTTAAGTAGCTGGGATTACAGGTGCCTGCCACCATGCCTGGCTCATTTTTTGTATTTTTAGTAGAGGCTGGCCTCAAGTGATCTACCCTTTTGGGAGGTACTTTGGCCTCCCAAAATGCTGGGATGACAGGCATGAGCCACCACACCTGGCCCAGTTCTGCTTTTTAAAATAGCCTTTTTACCACTTACATCCACTTTCCACAGCACTGATTGCTACCAGGCCCTAAGTCTTTTTGAACCTGCAGCATGGGGCAGCTTGCTTCTCAGCCTTGCCTACTCAGATTAGAATTCCACCTTCTTGGATCAACCAACCAGGTACTATTTATCCACCTGTTTCTGAGCTTCCAAAATTTGGTAGCTGTTGTGTCTTGTATTCTTCGTTTGTATGCTGAAAACATACACGTATACCCCAGATCTCTTTGTAATATTGTCTTAATGGGGTTTGGAGGGAACAGAGGTAAATGTGTTTGTTTAGTATGAGTTTTTTGAGCTGTGAACACTCTTGATGGCTGGTTGTCCAGATGCTGCTCTGAAGCCTTGAGGGATAGGGTAGTCATTTCTTCCCAGAGCCTCCTAACCCATCTTTTTTTTTTTTTTTTTTTTTTTTGAGTTGGAGTCTCACTCTGTCATCCAGGCTGGAGTGCAGTGGCATGATCTTGGCTCACTGCAACCTCCATCTCCCAGTTTCAAGCAGTTCTCTACCTCAGCCTCCTAAGTAGCTGGGATTACAGGTGCCTGTCACCTCACCTGGCTAATTTTTTGTATTTTTAGTAGAGACAGGGTTTCACCATCTTGGCCAGGCTGGTCTTGAATACCTGACCTCGTGATCCACCCGCCTTGGCCTCACAAAGTGCTGGGGTTACAAGCGTGAGCCACCATGGCTGGCCTTTTAATTCATCTTTATACCCCATGACAACAGACAGGTCCACCTTTATGATGAACATTTCCCTCTATCTTCTATCCAATGACATTAATTTTAATTGCTGCTTCCCTCCTTCCCATTACATCCCATCAGGACTGTGTTACTCACAGGCCTCTTTTGTCCACACTTAAAATTCCCCCACAGGGCACAGTTTCTCTAGTCTTTCTCTCTAATGTGGTTTCTTTCCTCTGATCTCTTCTATTCATTTCTTTTTAGTGTGTAGCTTCAAAACCAAACTCACCTTTCTCGATTAGGTCTAGTCAGAGTAGAACAAGATAATATCTCCTCTCCTTTTGAATGTTATACCTTGATTAGTGTAGTCTTTGATCCTATTAACATTTTGGATAATCTTGCCAGGTTGAACGGAGGCAAAAAGAATGCTATGATCTCTTCCATGTTGCTTCTAAGTCACTGCTCCCCGTACCGTATTTCCGCCCGTGGTTTTTGGACTCAAATACAGGAATTTGCATTTGTTCCTCTTAAACACTGCATTGACCAGGGGTCTGTGATGGAAATGGGGGTATAGGTGTTAGTCATGAAACTTCAGTGGGATGTTTTCCTGTGTCATGGAGGAGAGAAATAAAAAGCAGGAGTTTTAAGAAAGAGAGAGGGTTACCTGGAAAGGAGGCCGGAAGGCCCCTGAAGTACTGCATGGTGAGGGGGATGTGTGAGTGAGTGTATCAGCAGGAGGACAGAAGGCATTGTTGAGGAAGGGATTGAAATCCGGGGAGAAGGGGCAGCTGCTAAGTGAGGTAAGTCTTGCAGGATGTGAAGGAAAGGGGTCAGGGACACGAGAGGGTGAGGCTAGAAAGGAGAAGGGGAGCTGTGTTTTATTGGGCTCTGTTCAGATGTTACTTAATCCTGGCAGCAGCCTGTGAGTTTGACAATATTTGCCTGATATTTCAGATCAAGAAGCTGTGGCTTGTGGAGGTAAAGAAACTTACATAAGATCACATAGCAGAGTATTGATTGAGCAGATTAAAACCAGATTTCTACTGTACCAAGTTCCCCAGATGGTCCAACATGGGCAAGGGGCAAGTTTGATTACACTTAAAGGTTAGTGAAAACAGGGCTGTGAAACAGATAAACCAAGTTAGCTCTTGTGTCCAAAAGAGTGTTTAAAAGAAAAGGCCCGGCTGGACTCGGTGGCTCACACTTGTAATCCTAGCACTTTGGGAGGCTGAGTTGGGCAGATCACCTGAGGTCTGGAGTTCAAGACCAGCCTGGCCAACATGGTGAAACCCCATTTCTGCTAAAAATACAGAAAAAATAATTAGCCAGGCATGCTGGTGGGCACCTGTAATCCCAGCTACTCGGGAGGCTGAGGCAGAAGAATTGAATGAACCCGGGAGGCAGAGGTTGCAGTGAGCCCAGGTTGTGCCATTGCACTCCTGCCTGGGCGACAGGCGCAAAACTCCGTCTTAAAAGAAAAAAAAAAAAAAAAGGAAAAAGTCCAATTAAACTTGAGGTGGTATTCTAAGTCAATTCTTTATATTTTGGCACTTTGCAACCAGTTGAAAAGTTTTACAGTGGCTGCTTCCTTCTGAAATTATTTAGTGGGGAGGAGGCTTACTAAATAATTACTCTCTTGGATTACTAAATGGTTACTCTCTTGGAATATAGATTGGAATACCAATAAGATTAAATTGTGTATACACACGTATACTCTTTGTGTACCTGTATACGTACATCCTACAAAGCACAGTGAGTTCCTATTCTAAATTTATCTTTGATTGATATATATGGACCCTTCCCCCTGCAACCAAAAATAAATAAATCACTGGTCTTGAGAATTGTAAATAAAAGAAAAAGTTACTTGGAACAGCCCTGATTTTCTTGCATCTCTTATCTTGTAGGCCTTTGCCCAGTTTGATGCCGAGGGTGATGGGACAGTTGATGCTGAGAACATGTTGGAGGCCCTCAAGAATTCCAGTGGAGCTAATCTTCAGGGGGAACTGAGCCACATCATCAGACAACTACAGGCCTGTTCTCTTGTTCCAGGTGAGGCTTTCATCTGAGTGCTCTCTTAGAACCCAAATGAACTTTGCTATACTGCTGATTGAAATGAGGCAAAATTGTGGCCACATGCAATAAACTCCCCCAACAGTATTTGTTAGGCACGTGATCTGAATTGACATTCAGTAGAGTCATCTTCGTTCCCCAGTACGGTGGTGTCAGTGCTTCTACCACTTGATGAACACTGGTCCGAGGCTGCCTTCCTTATACATCTCTTTATTTCACCCTCTGCAGAAGCCGCCTTTGGCCTCCAGTGTTCACTCTCATAGGATCCTGCATTTCTTTTTTGCAACATATTACCATTGTAATTGATCAATTCATTATTCAATTATTAGTGAAGTGTTTGTCGTCACTCCTATACCGTAGTTCCACGAGGCCAGGGACCTTCTGTCTTATTTCTGCAGTGTCCTCACATTTGGCACATGTTTTTTTGGCATGTGCTAAGCACTTAGTGGTTTTCTTAGAAAGCTATTGCAGTAGTCCCTCCTTATCCATGCAGGAGATGTTCCAAGACCCCCAGTGGATGCCTGAAACCAAGGATAGTACCCAACCCTCTATATACTACATATTTCTCTGATATATGTATATACTTAGGATAAACTTTAATGTAAACAATAGGCATAATAAGAGGCCAGTAACAATAGCTGATAATAGAATAATTATAACAATATACTGTAATAAAAATTACAAGAATGTGGCCCCTCTTTTTTTCTCTCCCTCTCTGTCTCATTCACAATATCTGTTTGTACCATATTCAACTGTTTTGGGGCTTTTGACCACGGGTCACTGAAATTGTGGATAAGGGAGGACTACTATATTCAGAAATTTAAGAATAAAAATAGCTTAAAGGGCTGGGTGTGGTGGCTCAAGCCTGTAATCCCAGCACTTTGGGAGGCCGAGGCGGGTGGATCACGAGGTCAAGAGATCGAGACCATCCTGGTCAACACGGTGAAACCCCGTCTCTACTAAAAATACAAAAAATTAGCTGGGCATGGTGGCACGTGCCTGTAATCCCAGCTACTCAGGAGGCTAAGGCAGGAGAATTGCCTGAACCCAGGAGGCGGAGGTTGCGGTGAGCCGAGATCGCGCCATTGCACTCCAGCCTGGGTAACAAGAGCGAAACTCCGTCCCAAAAAACTTAACTCCAAAAAAAAAAAGCTTAAAATTAAACAATGAGCTTCTACATGGTGCATATGAAAAGACATGGCCTGTGTTTTTTTATGGTTTCTTTTGGGAGCTCAGACTTATATAAAGACAGCATCGTAATAAAATTAACATTTTTTTTTCCAGTGAGAAGACAGTTGTGTTTGAAAGAGAAAAACACTTTGTACATTTTCCTTTTTGTCTTGGTTTACTTCGTCTCAGAACTTTTCCTGCTCTGTGTGCTTGGTGTCAAAATACTTAGGGCAGCAATGGAGGCAAAATAGATTTCATAGAACATAAGTGTAAATCTGGTTGCACTTGACCCTCTGGCTTACTGCTGAGTGATTTATTCAGCAAGGGAAGGATAGTGTCCATATATTAAGGAGAATATATACTTCTTGCCAGACATGGTGGCTCATGCCTGTAATCTCAGCACTTTGGAAGGCCAAAAAGGATTGCTTGCAGCCAGGAATCTGAGCCCAGCCAGGGCAACATAGTGAAACCCCATCTCTTAAAAAAGTTATCAGGGCATGGTAGTGTGCACCATTGGTTCTAGATACTCCGGATGCTGAGGCAAGAGGATTGCTTGAGCCCAGGAGGTTGAGGCTGTAGTGAGCTAAGGTGGCGCCACTGCACTCCAACCTTGGTAATAGAATGAGACCATCTGAAAAAAACAAATGCGCATTTCCATTCTCCTTCAGGTTGTCTTTAATTATGTAATTTTTATACACGTTAACTTTTTCCCTGGTCTCATGGCAATTAAAATTATTATCATTATTATTGAGATAGAGTCTCGCTCTTGTCACCCAGGCTGGAGTGCAAGGGGATCTCTGTTTACTGCAGCCTCCACCTCCTGGGTTCAAGAGATTCTTCTGCCCCAGCCTTCCAAGTAGCTAGGAATACCGACACCCACCACCACGCCTGGCTAATTTTTATATTTTTAGTAGAGATGGAGTTTAACCATGTTTGCCACGCTGGTCTCGAACTCCTGACCTCAAGTGATCCACGCGTCCTGGCCTCCCAAAGTGTTGGGATTACAGGCGTGAGCCACCATGCCTGGCCTGTATTATCTTCAGCTAGCTTATATCTTAGCGTTTACATATTGCTCCACTTTTGCATTACCAGCATGTGGTTAGCCAGAGGAGCTTTATTTGGACACCTCAGACAGTTTTAGGCAGGAAAGCAAAGGGGTTGAGACCTGGGAATCCACCAACAGATAATTTGTAGTGTACTGTTGTGCTGGGCAACTGTGGTAAAATGGGAAATTAGACTGAGAAAACTTCAGGGTTCAAATCTCAAGGCACTTACATAGCAGGCTTATGACTTAGGACTTCTACTCAAAAGTTTTCATCAGCACTCAATTTATCAGTCTTGGAATGCACCTTTGTAAGCTGAAGTTGTTTTGGTGGTGGGATGTTTTAGTGTCTAACCTTTGTCTACACTAAAATGAGTTCCTTTTGTATCTCATGGTGTTGGTGCTTAAGCATTTAAAAAAGAGACAGCACCTTTTCCTAATTCATTAGGCTTGGAATTCATTTACTGAAGACTAAATTAATTTACCAAATGTTTCAGCATATGAAGTCTTTTTTTTTTTTTTTTTTTTTTAAAAATAGGGTTGCGCCATGTTGCCCAGTCTGGCCTTGAACAAGTACTTTTTTTTTTTTTAAATAGAGTTTTGCCATGTTGCCCAGTCTGGTCTTGAACTCCTGAGCTCAGGCAATCCACCTGCCTCGGCCTCCTGAAATACTGTGATTACAGGCGTGAGCAGCTGCACCAGATCTGTTTTTTCACATGGGTTTTGAGCAAATCAGTGCAGCATCAGCAGTATCATAAATATGAAGCTCAGGTATTACTGTGGAGTCAGCGAAGAAAAAGACTGAGCCACTACTGGCTTCTTTCTTCCTCAGCTTGCAAACAGCCTATCATGGGACTTTGCCTTGTGATTGTGTGAGCTCATTCTCCTTTATAGACTCCCTTTTATATATACACATATTTATATTTCTGTCCCTCTGGAGAACGGTGACTAATGGAGATTTTGGTACCAGAAGGGGCTCTAGAGGAAGAGAGTTTTAAGGATGGATTTCTTTAGTTGGTTTTGGAGTTTTTGGAGTTAGCCATTTAATTGGTTGGTGCTCCTAAGTTTGCTGGACAAAATGATGAAAGGAAAGGATGAGCTCAGGGATTTTATCTACAGAAATGCATACCTTAGCCTCACATCTTCCAAAAATTGCCCTAGATGAGAGTCTTATCTCCTTTAGACAAAGTGCTGAAATTGTGGAAAATCAGATACAAGCTCATAGCATTTGAGTGACTGACCTGTAGTTAAAGCTGCATGCTCAGCCTCAGTAGGTATCTACTGTTAAAATGAGGGCATTGATTGGGAAAGAATGGGACCCAATGCATAGTTGGAATAGACAGACTTGGCAGCTGTCAGAACTCATACATTGGCTCCCTGACCAGTAGGGTAAGAGCTATTATGGTGGGAAAGGCCAAATGGAAGCCATTAGAGCTGGCCCTACCTAGAAAAATAGTAAATCAAAAACAATATCACACTCCTGGAGGGACTACAGAGATGGGTGCCACCATCAAGAACTTGAACAATGCAAGGATGGTGATTCCCACCATGTTCCCATTCAGCTCTCCTATTTGGCCTGTGCGGAAGACAGATGAATCTTGGAGAGTGACGGTGGATTATCTTAAGGTTAGCCAAGTGATGACTCCAAGTGCAGCTGCTGTATCAGATGTGGTTTCATTGCTTGAGCAAATTGACACACCTCCTGGTACCTGGTATGCAGCCATTGATTTGGCAAATGGCTTTTTCTCCATTTCTGTCCATAAGGCCCACCAGAAGCAATTTGCCTTCAGCTGATGTGGCCAGCAGTATACCTTCACTCTCTTACCTCAGGGGTATATCAGCTCTCCAGCTTTGTGTCACAATCTTGTTTGCAGAGACCTTTGTCACTTTTCCCCTCCACCAGATATCATGCTGGTCCTTTACATTGATGACATTATGCTGATTGGACTGAGTGATGGAGAAGTAGCAAACACACTGGACTTGTTGGTGACACCTTTGTGTGCCAGGGGGTGGTAAATAAATTTGAAATAAATACAGGGACCTTCTACCTCAGTGAAATTTTTAGGGGTCCAGTGGTGTAGGGCCTATGGAGACATTCCTTCTAAGGTAAAGGGTAAGTTGCTGGATTTGGCCCCTCCGACAACAAAGAAAGAGGCACAATGCCTAGTGGACCGACAGGGATTTGGAGGCAACGCATTTCTCATTTGGATATGTTACCCTGGCCTGTTTATCGAGTGACCCAAAAGGCTGCTAGTGTTAAGTGGGGTCCAGAACAGGAGAAGGCTCTGCAAACAGGCCCAGGCTGCTTTGCAAGCTCCTCTGCCACTTGGGTGATAATGATTCAGCAGATCCAGTGGTGCTTGGGATGTCAGTGCAGACAGAGCTGCTGTCTGGAGCCGTTGGCCGACCCTATAGGTGAATCACAGCGGAAGCCATTAGGATTTTGGAGCAAGGCCCTACCATCTTCTGCAGATAACCACTCTCCTTTTGAGAGACAGCTCTTGGCCTGTGACTGGGCCTTGGTAGAAACTGAGCATTTGACTGTGGGTCACCAAGTTACCTTGTGACCTGAACTGCCTTTCATGAACTGGGAGTTTTCTGACCCATCTGGCCATGGAGTGAGTCGTGCATAGCAGCTTTCCATCATCAGATGGAAGTGGTATATTCGTGATTGGGCTTGGGCAGGTCCTGAAGGCACAGGTAAGTTACATGAGGAAGTGGCTTAAATGCCCATGGTCCCCACTCCTGCCGCCCTGCTTTCTCTCTGCCAGCCTGCACTAATGGCCCCATGGGGGGTGTTCTCTATTATCAGTTGACATCTTGGTGTGTCACCTGAGCCTCGTTTTCCTCAGTGGTTAAAAGGGCCACCTGTACCTTCTGTGTCTCTCCCTCACCTTACTGGGGGAAGGAATGATGTGATGTACATGCAGACACCTTACTGGTTGTAAAATGCCATTGGAAATTGTGGTAATGGCAGTGATTGTATTGTCATTATCATTGTCTTAGCATCTTAGTATAGAAGCAGTTATGCTTTTACTCTTAATGCACTGAACTTTATTTCTACCCCATAATCTATATGCAAGACTTCATTAAAAACTTAGTGTTTAAGTGCTTATACATTTTTGAAGTTTGGATTGAAACAAATAATCATTGTTCTAAGAGTTCTAAAATTCTGGTCAACTAAAATTAATTCTTTTTTTTTTTTTTGAGGCGGAGTTTTGCACTTGTTCCCCAGGATGGAGTGCAGTGGCGTGATGTCAGCTCACTGTAACCTCTACCTCCCGAGTTCAAGTGATTCTCCGGCCGCAGCCTCCCAAGTAGCTGGGATTACAGGCGCCCACCACCATGCCCAGCTAATTTTTTTGTATCTTTAGTAGAGACAGGGTTTCACCATGTTGGCCAGGCTGGTTTTGAACTCCTGACCTCAGGTGATCTGCCCACCTTGGCCTCCCAAAGTGCTGGGATGACAGGCATGAGCCACCATGCCTGGCCTAAATTAATTCTTAAGTTCAGAATGCTACTGGTTCATTTCTTTAAAACTTAACTTAGAATTTTAAATGATTCAAACTGAAAATGCCAATGAAGATTGTTAATGACTGCTTTTAACTTAGCCAGTTCAGATAGACACCAGGCAGGGGATATGGAAACTGCTCTGGCTTCCCCAAAATGCCGAAAACGGATTTTGTCTATTTAGGTTTCATAGACATATTTTCAGAGTCAAAGGAGGCACTTGGTGTTCACTCGTCAATGATACTGCGCTTCCTGCACCGAAATCGGCTCTCCAGTGCAGTGATGCCCTACCCGATGTTGGAGCACTGCAATAACATGTGCACCATGAGGTCTTCCGTTCTCAAGGAGTCTCTGGATCAGCTGGTACAAAAAGAAAAGGGTATGTGTATGGGGGATTCTCCTGAAAATTCTCTTATCATTTCTTCTAAATGTGGTATTGATAAAATGAGCCAATCCTTTTCCCTACCTTTATTTCTGAAAATACAGAGTAATAAGTTTGTAGCATAAGACTGTGATCCTCATTCCCTTTCTTCCTTCCTAACACAGCTGGTTTCTCATCATTCACTTCTCTGCTCAGATATGCCTTCAGGGATGCCTTTTCTGTTGATCTGATTAACACCACTCCCACTCCCCAGCTTCTGGTCAGGATCACCTCTGCAGGTTTAATGGTTGAAGTAGTTCTTACTGTTATCTGAAGTTGTAGCGTTATTGATTCACTTGTATGTTGTCTATGTTGTGTGTTTCCGTATTCCTGCACTGGGCCTGTTGCATCGTAGGTACTCAATGAGTATTTGGTGGATAAATGAGGGAACCCAGCACAGACTCACTCAGAGCTGGCAACAGAAGTTCATGACGTGTATAGATAGGTCTGTGGAACATAACAGAGTCCAGATATAAACCCAATACACATGTGAGAATATAGTACCAGATAAAGTCAGCGTTATAAATCAGAATGGAAAGGCGAACTGTCAACAGATGGAGTTAGGGCACCTCATTAGCCATTTGAAGAAAAAATAAAACTAGATTTTTTTTTTTTTTTTTTTGGAGAGTGAGTTTCACTCTTGTTACCCAGGCTGAAGTGCAGTGGTGTGATCTCCAGAACCTCCTCCTCCCAAGTTCAAGTGATTCTCCTACCTCGGCATCCCTGGTAGCTGGGATTACAGGCACACGCCACCAAGCCCAGCTATTTTTAGTGGAGATGGGGTTTCACCATGTTGGTCAGGCTGATCTCAAATTCCTGACCTCAGATGATCCACCCACCTTGGCCTCCCAGAGTGCTGGGATTACAGGCGTGAGCCTCAGTGCCTAGCTGAAACTAGATTCTTGATACATTCCGTTCACTAAAATAAACTTCAGGTGATAAAAAAGTTCAACTAAAAATAAAATGCTAAAAATATTGGAAGAAAATAGTTCCACTTTGTAAAATACGGAACAGCCTTTTTTTTTTTTTTTTTTCTGGGAGAGAGTCTTGCTCTGATGCCCAGGCTGGAGTGCAGTGGTGTGATCTTGGCTCACTGAAGCCTTTCCCTCCTGAGTTCAAGCAGTTCTCCTGTCTCAGCCTCCCACGTACCTGGGATTACAGGCATGTGCCACAATGCCCAGCTAATTTTTGTATTTTTAGTAGAGATGGGGTTTTGCCATGTTGGCCAGGCTGGTCTCGAACTCCTGACCTCAGGTGATCCTCCCAGCTCGGCCTCCCAAAGTGCTGGGATTGTAGGTGTGAGCCACCTCGCCCAGCCGGAACAGCCTTTCTAAGCAAGACATGA